GGGACCTTTGCTGCAATTATCCCTTAACTAAATGGCATTATTTTTCTTCATTGATTTGGAAAAATCGACTAAAAAATCCGTAGAAATATGTTCCCATTTAAGAAATTTTTTCTTTCTCTAGAGTTCCTCTAGTATGCTATTAGGCATCACATGCAATATTAGATTTAGTTACGAAGGAATTCGTTGTTTCGGAATCAAATAATGCATAAGCGAAAATCAACTATCGAAAGAATACCTATTATAAAGTTGTGGTTCTTCTCTACTTCTTGCTCAGTCATAGCAAAGACTCGAGCTTTCCCTTTGTTATTCTCATCCTTGTTACGAACAAACTTCATACAATTTCGTCGGTACACCCAACCGAATTGTGTGTAAATATTTTTTCTCATCAAACACTCTCCGTTGTACTGTTTGCCACATTTAGAATTGAATGGAATGGGATTGTCCCCACATTTATTGGCATCAACTCTACTATTTACTTTTTATTCTCCCACTTTCACTTTCACTTTCACTATCCCTTATCCTGCTTGTTCCACTTCCTTTTACCAGCCCAATATATTCTCCAAAATTAAAGATTGAATGGTCAAATTCGAACAACTATCAAATTTCTGTCCACTGTGGTTTCATTCAAGTTCTTGCAACCAATTATCCCCTCCTATCATTATAACAACACGAAAAATAATTCAACATCTAAGAAAGTTCAGAGGTTTAAGAAATCAAAAAACCCTCAAAAATAAAAAAACCTTGCACCTAAACTGTGATATAAACTCAATTGTCCAGAATTTAAGTTTCAACTTGTTGATTTCTACTTCTTTTTGCTTCATTTGCCTTCTATTGCACTTGGAATCACTCGAGGCCAACTTGGAGAGTCTAAGATGTGAGTTAGGAAGGTAAAATAAGGTCTGAAAGGGGTTTGGGTCGTGAGTCGTGGTTTAATAGGTATAAGAGTGCTGTTGAATAAAGTTAATACGAGCACGAGGTGGCTGTTTATGGTGGAAATCTGATTTACACTCAAGATGAGGTGCTTTTAATTGCCCTATGATTCCATAAGAATTTATAATACTAATTCGTTAATTGTTTATTCGATTTCTTTTTTCTGATTGACACTCGATTCTCGATCAACCTATAAAAATTGTATCTCGATATCTATAAACTCCTTAAAATAATATATTTCGATCTCGTCGAATCATTCGTTAGTGTCCCAAATATATGAATTACATATCTAGTCCTCGATCAAATTGAGAAAAAAAAAATTAAGCTTGCTCACCAATAACATATACAATACATTTAAAATTCAAAACACTTTAATCTATTGATCTAAAACCATAAAGAATACTAGAATATCAATGATAAAAAAAGGAGTAACAATTTAAATAGCATAGAATGACATGAAATATAGGGATAATTGCAGCAAAGGTCCCAAACATTTCAAATTTTTGCGCACTTTATCCTAACATTTGATTTGTGCCAGGGAAGATTCCAAATCTTTCAAAAATAAGCACCGGAGGTCCAAATCCATTTGACCGTTAATTGACCAGAAAAGTTAATTTTGACCAGATTGAGTAAGGGCAAAATGGTAACTTCACATATTTTAATCTAAAAAAATTAAAAAGAAAAGAAATGCCACTATTCATCTCCTTTTTCACCCACCCCACCCCACCCAACCCAACCCAACCCAAAAATCAAAAACGCCTCCACCTTCCACCACCATCTCCACCGCGCCGCTGCCTCCATTTCCCGCCACTCTCCGTCTCCCTTTTTGCCTACAAGCTATTCTCTTCTTCTCTATATCCCAGCTCCGTTTCGCCTCCACGGCCCTTGCCATCTCCACACCCCGTCCCTCTCCTTCAATCTCTCTTCCCTAATATGCAATCTTAATTCAAATTCACAACCCAAACAATAGATCTATGTTTCTCCCCAACAATACTCTCCACCTGAAAGAAAGCTGGCCGGTTGAAACTCTCTGCGTGAAACCAACCGTCGGCGTCCCTAATCTGCAATCCAAAAAACCCACCAAAGTTTCTCCCCAAATTCAAATTCACAACCCCAACAATACATAATAGGCTTCGATAATCAATGAAAGCACAAAAACCAACTATAATTACATAAACCAAACATTCAAGATCCATGAGAAATCCGGATTGTGTAGGACCCATTTGCCAGTTACCACCTCAGGCAAACCCTCAATTGCTTGACTTTCCTTGGGCTCAACTGCAGGAAGTGGGTTTAGGTTAAGGGTTTTAAAGGTGGTTGCGATGATGGTTTTTCACACATGGCGGGGTAAGGGTTTTACGGTGGTGGTTGCCGGCGTGGATGCTGTGGTGGGGACCGCGG